GCTGAAGAACCGGAGATTTCCACAGCTAGCAACAGGATATAGCACCGTTTGCACTGGTGCTCTTTATAGCATCTTTCAAGTGCCAGATTGATGTGTTTTTCACATTGACTTGAAGTTAAACTGATTTAAGACCATTTTCCAGGTCAGATTGGCAGGAACTGCTGAAGCGGTTTGCCTGACTCTATACCAGGAGAGATGCGTTGCATCTTAGGATCATCTAGGAATTTTCCTTAAGGAATTCATTGTTCTTTGAAGCACCAGCGATGTCAGCAATGTCCGTCTTCTCCTTTACTGTCATCTTCTGGGATGTTATATTTGTGTCTTTTCCTTTTTTAACACTGAGCCTCAGGATGATTATAGGGAAGTGTTTCATGGTGGTGTGTGTAGACTGGATGTTTTGGCATGTCCAGTTTTGGCACATATCGTACTAACGCCCTGCCAGCTGAACCAGGTGGCCCCTTTCAGAGCCATGTGTCACGCTTTGGCCACAGAGTCATTGGTGGCTGCTAAGATTGTGATTTAGTGTCAGTACAGCCTGTAGTCTGGTGGGATCCTGGCCTTTGACAAGGCTTCTGGCTGCCATGGTTGAAACAAACAAAAGTTTGTAAAGGTTTGCTGACAGAGCGGGCAAAACTGTGGTCATTGCAACCCTTACCTTTCTGTCTTGACCTGAAATGTGCCAAGAAGGGTTGGTGGAGGCGTGAATTATGTAATATCCAGCTGTGGTGCCAAGTTGCTCCCTTATAATGGGGGTAATAGCTCGGTGTAAAGGATATGTAGAAAAGAAAATAGTCACCACTGCGAGCTGTATGTCCAATTCAAAGCAGGTATGTATGTTCTGTTTTGTCACTGGGTTGGCCCTGGGGGCAGAAATAGCAGCCTCATGATGGGCGGGAGTTCCATATTCTACGTCCCCAGGGGATGATCCAGATTTTGGCAATGGGTAAAGAATTTGGGATTTCGCACGTTCTCTGTGTCCAAATACGCACCCTTCTATAAAAATCAGATAAAAGGGAATTTGCAAAGTTACTGATGGGTGTAATGCATGTGAAGTACTTTAAGAATCTCTTGGCAATAGGGGCTCTTAAAAAGAAAGATTTTGTATTATTCCAAGTGTATGTAAGAGAAAGTGGCTCCTAGGGAGACAAGAACTTCTTGAAGACTGTTAATTAATACTATTTTGGCATCCATAGCACTTCCCCTTCCTTTTAACAATTTGATGCCAAGAATTTCTCATTCCAACAGTGTCCAATAAATCTTAGAAAATAAATTCCAGTGACCATTGGAGGTATCTTTGGTTGCTTGATGGCTAAAGCAGCTAAAACCTTTCAAATAGCTTTTCCTTTTAAAATGTATGTGTTTAATCCCTGAAACAAAGTGACTGATTCTCCTCTCAGCAGCCAGAACATCTTGCACCAGCACAGACCTATTCTGTGCTGGGGATAAAATGATGGGCGTTTCAGTGCCAGGACATGTGTGAAGTCCCCCGTGAGATCAGACCCTACTCCATTGCCCTTTGAATTGATCCTGCTGCCATGCACCAGCTTCAGCTTTGTAAGAGGGGTCAGTGGAGTTCAGCACGTTGTGTTTGAGTATAGTGACGGTGGGTGAAGCGGATTATCTGTATGGCGGTGGCCTGCCACTTAGGCTGAATTTTTTTTTATAGTATACACCATCTGCAGTGGGATGGGATTCAGTGGTAGTTGGGACTCATCCAGGTAATTGTGCCTAGGGCTTCAATATGAATCTTTTGGTATGTGACTGTTACCCAGAAAACGCACTCACTATGCAGACATCCTGAATGTTTGAGATCTTTGAGATAAATGTAATTCCATTTCAGATTTATTTCACAGACTCTCTAAATCAATTTCGATGCACATATTCAATATGTATATAACATATATAAACATATGAAAACAAATATGACATATACAAAGACTCCATTGAAATATTTAGATTTAGTAACACTGAAAAACAAGGTCTCCACAGAGGCACAGATTGGACCTCTTCTTACCTCGCTTTCCCATAAGCCAGCAGTAATTCTGTGATGCCAGGAGAATGACATGAGCATTGCATTATTGTGAGGTGTAGCAGACCTAACATAGAAACACCCTGTGAAATATGTTCCGTCATTTCAGGGTGGAGAGGACTGTCAATAGCTGGTCCTGTTTCTACAGTAATTCGTTACCATGTTAATTTTTTTTTTTTTTTTAAAGTTATTATTTACTTTTTAAACTCCTACTGCACAGTTTCTTTTGACCCTTACAATATTAAAGTGAATGAATCCTTGTTATCTCCATTAGGGAGATTAACTATTTAGGTGATTATGGGTTTCCTGCTGTTCTAAAACTACAGAATGGCAAATTAGGAGCTCCTGATTTTGATTTGCAGATTGAGTGAAGATTCTATCGAGGTGAAGTACAAAAACTAGGTATTTACTGTTTATCAGGAAATGTTTAAATCACATCAGGTTTCCCCTTAGAAAATCCAAGACAGATATAGAGCTGAATGTTTCTTATTCTTGTGTGAACATAGGACTCTGTGTTCATTGTGACATTAACCAGATTGGAAATTAAAAATTAGTTTACATTTTTCTTGGTAATCTTTTCCTTTCCCTGACTTTAGTATTGTTTGCATAAGTAGTTCTGGACACAAAAATGTTCCCTTTTGTGGGTTGTTCTTCCAGCTTTTTGCCTGCATATTCTAACTGTACCATGACTGTGGTATGATCAAACACAAGAAAGCAATCATTGCTTAGGGGAAAGGTTGACTAAGTGAACTATGGCAAGCTCAATAATTTCCTCAGCAGCGAGGTGACCAGCTCCATGGCACTGCCTTCAAGAAGCCCCTTTACTAATGACCTGTGTATTGGTCTCCTCAAATATGTAGCCATATTCTTAATGAAAAAAAAAAAAAAAAATCATGGTTTTTTTCTGTTATTTTTATCCTTCCCTTACTTAGATCAGTCTTGGAATAATAATTAATACAGTACTATGTTTCATGTGGCCTTTTTCTTTTCTTTTGCAGGCTCTGAGCAGCAGTCTGTACAAGAGTGCATCACCTTATGGCTCTCTTAATAACATTGTGGATGGGTTAAGCTCCCTCACCGAGCATTTCTCTGACCTATCCCTTTCTTCAGAAGCCAGAAAACCCAGCAAGAGGCCACCTCCTAACTACCTGTGCCACCTCTGTTTTAACAAGGGACACTACATCAAAGACTGCCCACAGGTAAGGAATATACAATATTCTGAAAAAATGTTCATGAAAATTTTCACTCTTCCTTGATTTACTAACACAGAATTTGACTGAAGTAGTTCTGTAGAGTAGCACTGAAAAAATAGCTTGACAAAGTGCCAAGCTAGCCATGTGTTCTTTTAATATATTCTTTATCACAATGCTGATGGAAAAAATATACTATTTCATTTGCCTAATAAGAATTACAAAAGATATTCATCTAGGCACATGATAAGTAGATTTCAGAAATTTTAAAAATGGCTACTATGTAATTTTCTATCACAGAGATTATGTAAAATACATTTTCAAGCAGCAGACTGTACAGTCAGTTTGGCAATAGCACTTAATAAAAATATAACAAGTTCCGTGTGCTAAAGGGGAAGAAATCATTGCACTGGATAAGGACTTTAAATCAGTGTTGCAGTGACACAAGCTCCAAGTATATCTGGTGCAAAATGTCTTCCGTCTCATAGAAGGGGTTTGCTATACTTGACAAATGTGGTGGTCTTGGACTCCCAGAACTTTTTTGCAGTGGCAAAACTGGCAATATTTATTTCCTCCGAAAAGAGGTATAAACCAGCGTACACTAAAACCACTCACCAATTTGCAGTTTTCTTTTCTGAGGCTCCAAGCCACAGTACACTGATGTTTCTCCATCCTCTCAAGTTTCAGCTGGGTGCAGGCATGTTGCTGGCTTAAACTTTCACAACTCCAACAATATTCTATGTAGAGTCCTAAGGAAATTAAAGGGCTGCCAATACTCTAGAAATACAGATGTGGACATTACTGGCATCCGCTTCACTATGGCTTTAACCTCCTACCCTCTTAATGTGTGACTTTCTGCAGAATTAATCTGCACAGAATTAACTCTAGTTAATTCACTGTTGAGGATGTCAGACATAGATAAGCCAAAACACAGGCGGAAAAGCATCTGCCAGCTGAGCAGGGTCAGCATGAAATCAAGTCTAATGTCAGATGAGCTTTAGCTGAGTGTATTCCTCCTGCTGTTATGCATAGACTAAACTGTTTTCTTAATGGACTTTAGCTGTATAACTTCCATTAATTCTAATGAAAACTGTGGAATTAAAGTACATTTGCAGTCTTGGGTGTGGCACTTGAAAGTATTTTTACTTCATATTATTTCAATATATGTTGAGTAAGGCAGTTTTCTTTAGGGAAAAAATATGAAATGTTCCTTGCTAGGAGATCAAAAACACTCTGGTTCATATACTTCTGTGTTTAATGTACTTAGTTTAGCATGTTACAGTAAAATATAGAGATAGGACCATGTAATAGCATACAGTACTTAACAAGGGGATTAGAACTAAAACTACTAAATATGCGGCAGAGAGAAATAGAGTGCTGAACTGTGCGAGATGGCTGTGCTGTGCTGTGCTGTGTAAGAAACCAAATGAATGCAACAGGTCCCTTGACGATCAATACATGCAAGATGCAGCTCGCACAGATGGTCCCAAGTGAATGTGTCAGAGCTGGAGCAGAAATGCATTATCTCTTTCATAGGTATTTTTACAGTTTGAGGCACTAGAGATTAAAGAGCAGTTAATGAAAATTGAAGACATACCCACAGAAATCCAGGAGAGGCAAACAAATTAAGGTTCGTGTAGAAAGATTAATTTACTTAAATTGCATATCCTATGTAATTTTTTTAAGATTTCACTAGTAAAGTCTTCAATTTCACTGTGAGCCAGGAAAAAGACTTCCTACAGAGCATACCCTGCAGCTGGCCTATGAGCTAGTAAGTAATGAGTGAAGGAACACAGGACTGGGAGGCATCTGCTTGCTCACTGCACGTGGTCTTCTACAGTTACAAGCAGCCAGATCATACAGTCCCTTTCGTAAACTGATCAAGTTTTAGTTGGGAAACATTTCAGTATTTTGCCCTCACTACTGCTGACGGGGGAAGCTGCTCCAGAACCTCAGTCCTCTCGTACTTAGAAATCTTTCAATTTCCAGGATAAGTGTAACTCATGGCCACTTTACAATCATTTGTTCTCCTGCCAACATTGTCCTCCACTGAAATAGCTCTTCTCCCTCCCTGGTGTTTATCTCAGGATGTATTAATAGACTGCAATCATATCCTCTCTCAGCATTCATTCTGTAGGACTAACGGAGCCAGGTTTTCTCAGTCTCCTCACAAAAAGTAGACGGACTCTCTATTCCCCAATCCCTCTCATGGCTGTCCTCTTGCGCTTTTCATCTCCTTGCGCATGAGTGATTACATGTACGAATGGCATCCCAGAACAGATCTCATCAGTGCATTTTGCTGTGTGCACATGTATCCGTTTCTATAGATCAAAGTTTATATTACTTAAGGAACAGGTGATATGAAATTAGTTCTGCTTTATTGGAGATTTTTAACACAAGCAAGTGTTTTATGGTCTAGTCAGCATATAAGTGCTTTCTTGAAAAAGAGCAGACTTAAGCATTCACAGAAACTTAAGCACTACCCTTATTTTATCTAGATTTGAGGACAAATCTACAGGGGATGACCCTGTGTGCACAAGTTACGTTCAAAATGTTGAAAACATTGTGCACAAGAAGGGAGCACCAGCGACAAGATCAGGCCTTTGTTAGAAAGACCCCATTTGTTACCGCTGCTTGTGACGATAACTGATTTCTTAATTTGAACATTATATGCACTACTCTAATAGCTTAGATTTTGATGCTTAGTTTTTCTAGTGCTGTTAAAAATGAAAGTTGTTTTGCAAATCCTACCAAAAAAAGGCTGTAGCTATGCATTTTTAAAGCACTTAAATTTGAATAGAGAAAAGAGATAAACTAATTTGATTTGGACAAAATGCATATCACTAAATCATACAGTATTTTTATTTTCTTTTTATGTAACTGCCTAATAAGAAACAGATTTTGAAATTGGGTGTTTTGTGGAGTTTTTCCTGCATAACAAAGAAATTGTGTAACAATGTTGAGACTTTATATCCTCCCTTAACTCTGCTTGTTATAAACACTATAAAGACGCATGGTTTTTCTCTGTTGCTGTACAAGTTGATGGTATACCATACTGATGAAAATACATGTATCAGTTCAGACTTATGTCTTAAGTGATGATCATATTCTAGGAGGTTAAATAATTACAAACAAAAAAAGGCCAGCTTTAGTATTTGAGTACCTCAGGTATCTGCAGTTTGTCTAATATCCTGTCCAAAATTATCTGTTTGGAAATTGAAATGGGATTTAGCAAACTTCTATTATTTTACCACGTAGTTTGTGTGATCTGTAGTGATAGAAAGCGTGTTCTCTGTTTTAGAAACTACCAGAAATGAGAGCAATGTTATGACTGAAATTCATCACTTCCAATTTGCCTACATTTGCAAAAACTCTTGCAATTATTATGTCTATAAAAAATACAGTACTTTTTATCTTTAGTGTCATCTTTACAGCATACCTACATTTTCTCTGAACTAATTTTTGAGTTTCAGTGGCTCAGACAATAGCATCTTACTCTCACCTCTCTGGTGTTCTTTCACATACAGAACTCTCATTGACTTGAATGAACTGAAAAATGTCTAGAGAATAAAGGTTGAAAGCAGTGCTCTTACATCTGAAACAGTGGCGCTCTTAAATTATGATTGACAGTGCCATCAAATATACAAAATATTTCTCTTCAAAGAGCAAGGAAGGTGAGGAATGAGAGTACTTTCCTATCTTGTTTACTAGTGGTTAGTTGCATGTTGTGTAAATGTATATGTATATAGATTTGTCAAAATTTGTTTACCCGAAGGTACTGTGCCAGTGTACATCTTACATACGCATGATAACCATAGGTTTTCTTTCCCTTGCCAGGACAAATAATGATGATTTCTGGGCCAGTAAGAGTTAAGATACATGATTCTTTATGACATTTATTTATCTAGCAGATGTAGGTACTCCCAGAAGACCTTTTTAAAAAAGTTACATTGTCTCTTTTCACCCATTATCACTGTAGTCTGTATTTTTAAGTCCTACAAAATATAAACAGTGGGTTTGTTTGTACTGTGCATGGCCTATACAAAATGAATCTTGCTCCTTTACATACAGTGTAGGGATGTTAATGGCGTTACCACCCTTCCATGATGTTGTCACCCTAAACTCAGACCTATCATATGGGTTTTATATGCAGAAAGTACAGGATAATGGGGTATGGTGTTAGATACTGTATATATGGACATTTGTGAATAAAACACCTAGTTCAGGTTCTGAGAAGCTGCTGAGTGATTGAACCTTTGCCATGGCTCAAAATCTTCTTTGGGAAGGAAATATGTGGACACAGGTCCTACACCTCATTTATTACAAATGTCATTCCTCCTCTTAATTTGGGCAGTAATGGATTAACAGCAAAGGCATCAACAAAGTTGTGCTTGTAGGGGTCCAAGCTCAGAGCTCCAGCAAAGCATCTCTGTATTCAAAGTTTCCAAACTGTTCAACCTTGTGTTTCTGCCAAGCACCAGTTCCATCTGCTGGTCCCGCTATCCTAACTTTATTCAAGTACTGTCAAATCCTTTTGTGAAAATATGTGCAGGCCTAGTCACTCAAAAAATACATGGCTCCAGCCATGTCTTTCTGAATGCTGAACAAGGAAACTGCTCTGATCCCTGTGCCAGTGCCAAGCTCTCTGAAAAAGTCTTCCTGACAATTCCTGTAAATTTCTACACAGGCAAGGACTCCCGCATCATGGAGACTTGGTGGGGGGAAAAAAACCAACCCAGCAAATATCACCATCCTGCAGTCAAATCCCTGGTGCTCTACAATTATTTAGTCCAGGCCCTGGGAGACACAGAACTGTTACACAGCGTGTTTCCTGATTTAACACTATACTCATAGAGGAAAATGCACGTGCGTGCTCATAGAAGTACAGACATACTACCACAGATGTATATGTAATGGGAAACAATATTAGCCTCATTTTGCACCGCATTTTTAAATCTGTGAATGAAGTGTATGGCATGATCCATATTAATGAGGCTAACAGTGGGAGT